ATATATACATATATATAAGGAGTCTCAGCTACCTACAGATTGACAATTACTTTGAACATAACTTTAGAAATGGAACAGAACTCATTGAGCACCAGATCATCTCAAACTTTTTTTTTAACATGGCGATGAGTTCACTGTACTCTATTTCCTCTGAAGTCACCAGCTCAGTCCAACAAAGCACTGCTAGGAATGGTTTGAATGGGAGAAACCTGTCATAGCTGACAAGCCTCTGTGTGATGTCATGTTAGTGTGGATCCAAATCCCATAGGAATGTTTCGAGCCACTTGTTGAATCTGTGCCACGGAAGGATAAGGCAGTGTTGACGGTAAGAGGTCCAACCTGGTGTTGATAGGGTGGTGAGTGTGAATGGATAGAGAAATATACACGAAAGATAATAAGTAAAAATGCAAAACTTAAAACACAGAATCAGCGATGTTCAGGATTTATTGTGGGCACCGTGATTAGAAAGAGGTACATGTGGAGGAATGAGTGATCTGTGGTCACCACAGCGCGATGTGCTTTATTAGCAAAGAATCATACAACATGTCTAAGAGGAGGGTTGCTCGTACCACACCGTCCCCAAAGTCATCAGGAGGCGCCTTCTCCTCACTGCTCCGTCTTCTTCAGCTGTAGTTGTCAATCAACTCAAGCAGCTGATGCACTGCAGCTCTGAACATGTGCATTTGCGGCCTGCACTCATTATACCCCTCCCCCTGGTGTTCACACAGCTTTAAAAAAAAAACACGTTTTCATGCTGTTACTATGTTTACAGAAGATGATAACGTTTCCCAGTGCTGTAGAGCCAGATTACTGTACTTGTGGCGTCTGGTGAAGGACAGGTGAATGGCTAAAAAGAAAAAGGAAAAGCGGATCATGTTACAAGCTGTGGCTTCACCTGACAACAAGCTTCTTTGTGTCTCATGCAGGTCTCCAAACAGGGTCGTTTAGAGACCCTTCCTCCACCCTGTGACTCCAGATATTTATAGAGGAGTCGTCTGTCAGTGAAGCCATGCTGCTGGTCTGTGTGTCGCTCTATTTCTGACTATTGCTGCATACCCCCTCAGTCAGTCTTGCCCAGTCTGTGCGACTGTGAGTGTGTGACAGGGGGACTCTCATTTTGGCTCGCTGGATTTGCCATTAAACATCTGGAGCCTTTAGCTGCTTCTCTACAGTTTTGGAAGGTATGGCTGCGTTTTGTTCTATCCTATTTGCTGTCCACTTATAAAGTTCCTGTCATGGGTTTTATTTATAGATTGGAGCTGGGTTAGAGAGAGCGGGGCTTCAGGGGCCTACATTCTGTAATACAGCCGGGCTGAGATTTGACATTGTTACATTTAGATAACACTGGTTCAGACGCCGCTGTCTACTTCACCAGAGGACTGGTTTTTACTGTTGGCTCGATTTTTATTGTCAAGCATGTTTCTGTCTCTGGTGTCTTGTTAGGAGAAGTTTTCTGTTGAGGTCATAAACTCGTCTTGTCAAGCAAGGGTCCTATAGTTGAAAAGAAGGTTTAGCATGCCACCCGAGAACCTGTTGGATGCATTTCTATGTCAAAACAGACTTTTAGGACAGTTTTAAAATCATTTAGAAAGTTGGTTGGTAGTTTTTATGTGATTGGCACAATGCCTGGTCCTTCTAAAACTAGCTGTTGAGTTGTTTACAGGGACTGACTAAACCTGCCCCTAGTATGCTGCTTACAGGCAGAGAGCAGGATCTCATACTGTATGATCCACACCACAAGGCTACTGGAGCGAGGTACATGGCACATAATGACAGACATGTTTCTGATTTTCTATCTTGCCTCTGAGGCTGGATCTTCCTTAGAGGAGAAGTTCGGAGAAAAAAAACAAGCATGAGACCTCTGACACTTGTTTGATTTTGCTTTCAGATGAAACCATGTTTGACAGGATGATTTTCATCCACTACTCTTTGGAATTAGACCACATTTTGGGTTATGTTTGGGTTCGCTTGTGTTGGTAGTCTGGATTGGTAATTAGTTGTGATTTAGCTTCGCTCTTCTCAACCTCCTCCCTTTGAAACCTTTTTAAGAAGTCAACAGGTTGAAAATCAGTTGGACTGATGATTTTTAGTTTTGTACAGAGTGCTGGCACCTCAGACAAACACGCATCTGGGTCCTTGAACAATCTGATGACCACACTGACACAAAGTTCTAATCATCAGCAGTGAGAAGTGCACAATCAATGCAGTCCTGTAAGAAACTAAATACACCTTTACCGCTGTAGGAATGAAGAGTGTAGCTAGCGTCCAGGTCCTGCTAATCCAGGGGTGGGCAACTCCAGGCCTTGAGGGCCGGTATCCTACAGGTTTTAGATCTCACCCTGGGTCAACACACCTGAATCAAAGGATTAGTTCATTACCAGGCCTCTGGAGAACTTCAAGACACGTTGAGGAGATCGTTTAGCCATTTAAATCAGCTGTGTTGGATCAAGGACACATCTAAAACCTGCAGGACACCGGCCCTCGAGGCCTGGAGTTGCCCACCCCTGTGCTAATCAAATACACTTGATTATCTGATCAGCAGTAAGTGTGAGCACTTTTGTAAAAACTGAGGTTTTGACAGTTTGTTTCTGTGGCGCACTCGAATGTATGTTGTATACCAATGTCTTCCCAGGAGTGGGCGCCCCAGCAAATTTACCCCAAGCTTAGGCCATCCATGCTCTGAGAAACTGCAAAAAACTCAAGAACTCCACCGCAGACTCTACAAGTTCATAGCAAACATCTCAGACCAACTGCCAGCATGGTGGTGGAGCGATGAAGATTTGGGCACCTTACAGTCACTGAGCAGAACATGAACTGCTCTGTATACCAAAGTGTTCTAGAGTCAAATGTGAAGCCGTCTGTCTGACAGTTAAAGCCTGAATGAAACTGGGTCATCAACAGAACAATAATCCCGAGCACAGCTGCTGAAACAGGAAAGAATCAGTGCTGTGGCCCAGTCAAAGTCCAGACTTCAACCCGATGGAAATGGGGTCATGACAAAACAGAACCGCAAAAAGACATCAGGAGTGTTTGAGGCCAAGGGCAATGGGAAGGCACAACTTTTTTCACAGTGTAGCTACTGATTAGTAAAACTTTTCACACAGATTTACGCTTTAACAATATGTGTGTTTATGACCCTATTAATCACAGCAGACCCTTGCCTTCAATGCAGTGTTGTAAAAAAAGGTGGATAATGACAAGATTGACTAACGCCAACACATCATACAGAGTAGGTGTGAGCTGACTGACAACAGAACCTCTGAGCAGGAGCACGACGAGACAGTTTCTTAAAAAATAATGACGTCTCAATAGACACAAAGTGGCAGTGAAGTATGTCAATAATGGAAAAGTGGATCATGATGGTGTGTGTGTGTGTGATAACTGTCTTTTACTGAAGATTATCTAATTTACCTCAGTTTTCTTTCTTTCTTGTCAGATTGTTCTTCTCCCTCTGTGCACACGCACATTGCCACAATCACATCTTGCTGACAGACGTGTGACCCTCCACCTCCACAGCCACCTCACTCCCCTTAACCCTCTCCCTACTGTGAAACCATGGCACTGTCCTCACGCTTAAAACTCTGGGAGAAGAAGGGAGGTGCAGAAATGCTGTGTGCTGCATTAACTCTAATAGCTGGTTGTGACTGCACACATGTGTGTGTGTGTGGGTGTGTGTGTGGTGCACTGATCACATAGTGAGTGCTCCTCTGTTCTAACCCTGAGTCATCGTAGCATGTCACTGCTGTGGTTGGTGTATTAATCATCTTGCATGTTCAGTGTTTGAGCTTTTTACAGCCCCATGCTGTCACTTGACATTTGCGATCTGAATCTGCTGATACTGATATTTCTGTTGAGATACAAAATATTGAAGTTTTCCACAAATGGGAGCAGAACACCCAGCCTTATATGGCAGTTTCATCACTCAGTTCATTCTGCTTATCACACGCTACCGAAAGACTGTACCGAAAAGATGGTCATGCTTAAGTTTAGGTTTTTTGTTTTTTTGTTTTTTTTTATCCATTTTGAAGCCTCGAGATTAGCCTCCATTTTTCAGCCTTTTTCAGGTTGATTGTAAAGATATTTTTATGCTCAGTGACTCCAGCTTACAACACCATTAGTGGAAATCCTTACAGAAAAAAACGAAATTGTATGTCCCAGCTGACCGACAAGCTACAAAGTCTTTCCCCACAGTTCATACAAAAGGAAGGTAGGAGACAGTGATAACTGGAAACTGTTTTTCAGACTGGATTTTAAATGTGTTACACTATCCTGGCAAAAACACAGAAGCAGAGTATTCTTCTGCTGGGTAAAGAAAATACATGCTGTCCTTTTGATGTGGCCCCTCGTACACCTGGTCATACACATGATACCATCTCATAGGATGTCAAATCTCTGAAGAGATTCATACATGCTAGTGGATTTTCAGACTGTCACTGGGAAAATACTTTTAATGTAGCTACATTGTGGAGCACAGCAACACAAATGGAAGGCATCAGATTTCAATCTGATTACAGTATTGGTTAACTGACACTGCATTGCATACACAAGGGTTTTAACCAAAGCAAATATTCTTACACAGTAACATGTTTCATGTGACTGATATGTTATTACAGTATACATAATTAGATTAAGAATTGCTGTCATTTTAAGCACAGTCCCTTAATTACTGTGCAAGTTTGCAAATGATATTGAATACTGGGCAACATCAAAATAAATTTTTTCTCAGATTCTGCCCCTCCTAATGTTCTTGCTCCATGCAGGAAAAACTTTTAAAAGCTGCATTTGAAATCAACTTGAGGCCTTTTACCTGCTTAATTTCTTAAAGGTTTAATAAAGAAGTGACCATTTACTTGTCCATGCTTCTGTGTCAAATAAACCCCCAAAACAGGAACAAGTGTACAAAATCACTCTAATGCCTGAGCAGCTGATGCTCGGCTTTTCTGTTGAAGCTCATAAACTGTACCTCTATTATTGTAGCTGAATGTAGCTGTATTATTTCAGACAGAGAAACAGTTGTGACATCTTCTGAACTTACTGTAACTGTCTGGGGGGGTTTTACTCTTGGATTAGCTTGACATGAAGCTAATATTGAGTTTTATTTAGTTTAGAAGTAGAACTAGAGGGTTTCTTATCTTTAAAGAGAAGATTTAGGTTTAAACCATCCATGGAACCTCTGCTCAAATCTATTCTAATGCAGTCACGAGTTCATGCCAACTGCAGGGTTTTACAAAGCTGGCACATTTTCACTGGTTAGTCGTCCAATTTTGAATCTCATAAAAAGCTTTGTCAAGCACACTAATGTGTATCCCAGTCTAAATTTTGCAATTAATATGTTTTTGACAGATTTGTGGAGTTTAACAATTCAGCATAGTGGCATCACGTTTACCAAAATGCCTTTGGTGTGAGACCAGACATACAGCTTCCCTCTTTTGCAGAGCACCTGTCTATAAATTACAGAATGATTGCTTCACCTACATGAAAATAGCACGAGGGAAAAAACAGCGTACTCGAAGGCCCTGCCTCTCTGTGCCTCGGGTTCACTCCTCATCTCTACACCAATTCCAAATCCTCACATCTCAGGCATCAATCTAACTCTGTAAACAAATTCCAATCACAAGTCCAGTAGGCCATAACTTTTTTAGAATTCCAGTCTTTTCACTACTTTCAAGCACCTGTCCTCTGATGTGTACCTTCCTATTCTGTGTTTTCCTCCAGTTTTGTTTTTATTCCTCTTTTTGTATATACTCCTCTTGTATGTTATTTATTCCTGCTGTCTTACTATTTCTATTTTTATTCCATACAGTTGGTGCGGAGCACCCACAATTTTGTCGTACATGTACAATGACAACAAAGGCCTATTCTATTCTATCCTACTCAAATTAACAGCCGTTTAGATTGTCACACATTCTCTTATTTGAAAAACCCTCCAACGCCTCAGGTACCTCATAGCTGTTTATGACCCTGCATGGTGCTAAAAGTGCTGAAGGAAGCTAATTACAAAAAGGCCTTTAAAGGACTCACATTCATTTATGTCCACTGTGCCACACACTGCCTCCCCTTTTTGGACTTATTCTAAACCCTGTGGAGCAGTTTTGATGAACTCATGTTTGAGTGTTGGTCAAAATAAAGTGTTTGATAAGAACTGTAAGAAATCTCTTTCGCTTTCCAACACATTTGTCATACATTGTCAACGTATGCATCTGACTTGTTTAACTCTCTGCTGAGCATGCAGTGCATGCCTGATGTGCATGCCCAATGGACTGCACACTGCATCCAAACCATACAATGACTTTCTATTTTGTTTGTTCTGCCTGAATCATCAATGGACCAAACTACAGATAAAGGAGGAAAACAAGCCAATTGTCACAACGGTACCACATCCGCCTCTGTCAGTTCTTCCAGGTGGTTTCCTCAAGCAGCTCGTCAGAGATTCAGAGAAAGAGACCAAACATAAAGAGCCAGAGGTCAAAGAAGAAAGGCCAGTAAGTCATTCATTTCCATCTCTCAATATCTTATTGAATCTTAAAGATCTTAGTGTTGCCAATACCAGAGTTGGTCTGCAACTAAAAACGTGACTAGTCATTTAATTAGGCCACAGGTGTGCCTAATAAAGTGGCACCCTCTCACTCAGATGCCTCTGGAATGGCCTTCTCTAGGCTGGAGAAAACAATGTCAGTAATGTAATGACAGCCAGAGAAGGGCCAGATGGGCTTCTTTGGATAAAACTCATTTTCTCTATCTATTGCTAGCTTTGGCATTGAGAGATTTAATGGAAGAGATAACAGAATGTATGGATAATAAGAGGTACACACTTGGAGTTTTCTTAGATCTAAAGAAGGCATTTGATACTGTTAATCATGAAATTCTATTAAAAATTTCATGATTAAAAAAACTGGAAAGGTACAGGTTTAGGGGAGTGGTTTGGACTAGTTTAAAAGCTATGTAGGGAATAGGCAACAATATGTACAAATAAATGAATATATATCTAATTTGGTGGATATTGCTTGTGGAGTACATCAAGGTTCAATATTGGCTCCAAAAATGTTTATTATGTACATAAATGATATTTGCAGAGTATCGCAGATTCTAAAGTTTGTAATATTTGCAGATGACACAAATATATTTTGTTCAGGAGTGAAGTTGCCACAGGTTTTGGAGATGATCACACAGGAATTAACGATATTAAAGTGGTTTGATATAAATAAGTTATCATTGAATCTAGATAAAACCAAATTTATGTTATTTGGAAACCAAAAGAAAAGTATCAAAAAAAATTCTTGGTGTGATCATTGACCAAAAGGTCTGTTGGAAACCACACATTATACTTTTAAAATACAAAGTGCTAGAACAACTTTAAAAAGTATGTCTATCTCAATAGCGGGAGTGAAATTATGGAACAGTCTAACAGAAGAAATAAAAGAAAGTAACAACATAAACCAGTTTAAAATAAAATATAAAAAACAAATTTAAAAAAATATAAGAAGGATGAACACAGGGTTAACCCAGGATGGTAGTGTTGTTGGTAATAGTGTTTCAGTTTAGTTTTTTCATAATTTGTGAATGTGCAAATGTAACCATTTATTTATTTTTATGTGAAAGTAACTATACTGTGGTGGGGATTGTTTATCTTTTGTTTTGTTTTTTGTTTGTTTGTTTTGCTTTACTTTTGCTTCATATGTTGTTTGTTTAATTTAAGACTAAAAGAAAATTAAATGAATGAGAGGTAAAACCTGAGGGGGTAGGGACATATAAGTATATACTTCTGCCTACCTCTTTTCGAACAAAAGAATGGAATTATATTTTGTAATGATTGTGAATGAACATGTTTGAAATAAACATGAACTGACCTTAACTAAAAATGATCTTACCTGTTAAGGCAGATAAACTGCTTGTTACCTAAAATAGTGGATAGCTGGCTAAGCTAATAATAATAGCTTACTAATGTTGTAACTAATGCTAATCGTTCAAACACTTGGAAGCATTTCATATCAAAGCTATAGAATTCACACTGAAGACACAACAAAAGCACCAGCAGACTGTGACACATCACCCACTATTTCCAGTAGCACTACTACACACAAGTACAACGCATGCATAACCTTCAGTTAACAGTCAAAGGAGGCCTGTTACTTTTTTCTTCCCACTACAGCCAAACAAACTGAGTGACAACCTGGTGCAACAGTTTCTACTCCCAGATCAGACTCCTCCAATCCTCGAGGCAGAAATGTCCCTGCGGACAGAGCAATTCAGCGACAACAGCGACAACAGCCAACCTCAAGGACGCAACTCAGCACAGCCAGATGGCAGGTCCTCATCTCAGTGCCACATAGTGACTCCTGACTCCAGGGGTAAACCTGAAACCAGACCAGACGTAACACCAGAGCCCCCAAAGCAGAAGCTGCAACAGTGGGACAGAAGGACTGAAAAGAAGAGCAAAAATATGGAGGAGCATACAAAGAAGGAGAAGATAGAGGAATTTGGGCAAGGGAAGGAGAAAGAGAAGGGGATGGAGGAGAGGCAGGAGCCAGAGGGAATGCAAACAGAGACAACGGTGACAGAGAATGCCAGGAAGGAGGTATGTAGGCTTTTGTCATCCGGTCTTACAGATAGTCTGAGGCCTGCAGAATACTTGGAAACTCTTCTACATTAAAATAATATTTTTAATGGATTTTTTCCCCTTTTCGTGACACCGTTTCCTTTTAAAACTAACATTTAAATTCCAATAAAAACATATCTACTTTATGCCCTGCATTCAGATCCCTCATCTGCCTTAGTTGAGACATTCACGAGACATAGACAGTAAAAAAAGTGGATGTAGCTTTGTGGTTGGAAAAGTAAAGCCAGCGGGGAAGTGCCTTAAACTTGCATTCTGTCTGGAGGCCATTAGATGGCGACACCTATGGCGATTAGTTCATTGTTCTACTCGTTGTGGATCATACTGAATAAAAATAAACCTAATTTGTAGGGTTTTAGTTTATATGTTTTTGATGATACTGTATTTGACACAGGAGGATTAGCTGTGATGTTTTCAGTTTGCTCAATGGCTAATGACTTGTCAGTTGCAAGCATCTTTTTCTCAGCAGTGCGCACACAGCGAGTGACTTTTCTTTGCCACATCTCTACAAAAGCGCTAGTCTCCTCAAATTTATCTGAATTGTTGTGGTGTTTTTAAAGAGAAACCTGAGTTAATGCTGCATTATTTTTCCTTAGTAATCCTGCAGTGCTCCCCTATTGAGATACAGCACATTGTTTGCAGATCACCCTGCTATCGCAATAATCACAATAATATCTAGTAGCATATGAAATGAAAAGATCAGATTTTCTTATATTTACCTGCTGTGATCCAGTGCAGCTGCTTTCCTTCAAACTGTTTATTTCTATGAACAAAATAATATGCCCTCCATAATAATAATTATTATATAATATATTGTTCATGCAAAGCAAAGACTCAACAAGAAGTAGTTTTTATTCCAGCAGTGTGATGGTCAGATTTCAGATGTGAGTGTAACAAACTGTTGTTAAAAACTCAAACTACATCAGTTATGGCATAAAATGGAAAATGCAGTTACAATTAACATTTTGGTCATTATGTCGATGGTTTTTGTGAATTGTGGGATGATCCATCACAATGAATTATGAGACGGTGATTTCTAATCTCCTTTCATAACGGATGGTCCTCCTTAGCTAAAGGAAGCAATAAAGGAAGCATTGAAGCTCCTTTCCTTAGTATTCAGAGAATTTGATTAGATCTTCTTATGGATATTTCTGGGTCACGTCTCTCAGCTAAGAACCGTTAAAAGCAAAATGGATTATTGGAGCTCACCACTGGATTCTTGCAACCATGATGGCAACAGCATAAACATTCATCTTAAATCTTCAGAACACTATTTGAAACCAACAGGTGACGTCGTGGTAGCTATTTAATATCTACATAAATGGGTACTGTCTGGTGTGACAGTACCCATTTATGTAGATATTAAATATTAAATATAATATTAAATATTATAAGCACGACATCCCAGTGCATTTCAGACCCAGCAACACGCTCAGACAAAAACTGGTTCACCCGAAAGACAAAACGGCAAAACACAGTCTTAACAATGTGGTGTATGCTGTACAGTGCAGCGAGGAATGCCCAGACCTCTACATTGGAGAGACCAAACAGCCACTTCACAAGCGCATGGCACAACACAGAAGAGCCACCTCCACAGGACAAGACTCAGCAGTCCATCTGCATCTTAAGGATAAAGGACACTCTTTCGAGGATGCCAATGTTCACATTTTGGACAGAGAGGACAGATGGTTTGAAAGAGGAGTGAAAGAAGCATCTATGTCCACTGTGAGCGACCATCTTTGAACAGAGGCGGGGGTTTACGACACCAACTCTCTGCCATCTATGATCCAGTTTTGAGTTCCCTTCCCAGACGCCTTAACGCCCACTCACATCCTGGGCCATCTGACCTCAGGAATTCGCATGATAAGGTGGGGCCAGGTTTCACAATGAACACACCCGAAACTCTGGCTGATTGGGACCCACACCCAGTTTCACACCTTGGCTCAGGCGATTAGAGGATCATCAGGGGGTCCTTTTGTCCCTCTGTGGGGGAAACTCCCACTAGGTTTATATCTGGGATTCTCCACCATTTGACCTTAGAACTGAAGAAGCTTCTCGGATGAGAGGTGAAACGTCTTCAAGTAACTTAAAGAAGTCCAGACGCTTTTCTTTGCAAGCTCCTTTGACTACGATGACCTGGATGACTGAGAACCTTCACAGACATTAAATATTACCATTCCATTCAATAGAGAAACAACAAAGTAATCCAAAACTAAAGGTTCTTTTAGGGGTTTTTTGTATTTGCATACTTCAGTAGTTTGACCTATGTGCATAGTGGGAATCAAAATGTTTACGGAGACAAACAAAAGTTAAATTTAAGTCATTTTAAGATCTTTAAATCTCAGACAATACAATTCACTACCTAATCCACTGTCGTTCTGTCCAACATATGATGAAAAGCCTAAACAAAAGGAAAGAAACTAGTGTGACAGTTATATAAGTAATTATAAAAAATGTACATATGGTTGATCCGTCGTGATGAAGAGAGAGCTGAATGGAAAAGCAAAGCTCTCAATTTACCAGGTGATCTACTTTAACTATGGTTACAAACTATGGTAGTGACGGAAAGAACGAGATCGCGGATACAAATGGATGAAATAAACTTCCTCAGAAAGGTTGCTGGCTTCTCCCAGGAGATATGGTGAGGAATTCGGCCATCTGAGAGGGGCTCAGAGTAGAGCAGCTGCTCCTCCACATTGAAAGGAGCAGGTTGAGGTGGTTCGGGCTTCTGATAGGGATGCCTCCTGGGCACCTCCTGTGTGAGGCCCTGGGGCAGACTCAGGACATGCTGAAGAGATTATATCTCTTGGCTGGCCTGGGAACCCCTTGGTGTTCCCCTGGACATGCTGGATGAGGTGGCCAGGGAGAGGGAGATCTGGGTTTCTCTGCTTAGCCTGCTGCCCCTGGGACCCGGCCCCAGATAAGTGGAAGAAGACGGATGGATAATTTTCCTTATTTACACTTATATGTTTTATTGTTGTCCTCATTTATTCTATAGTCTTCTGTTTCTATGTCTGAAAGCTGAGCTTTGAGCTCACAGGGATTATTTGAAAATGTAGCAGAAAATAAAGAAAAACACAACACTTTAAATGTGACTTCACTAGAAGTAAACTCTGAAAACAATGGTATTTGATGCTGTGGCACACTAAATGATCATGCATTACAGAAACTGTGCAGCCAAAAAGTCTTTAAGAGTTACTGTTCTTCTCTTTGTTCCTCTCATGCTGCTTTCTCTCAGGTTAGGGATGTGTGGTATGAAGCTGGAACTGTGTGGTACGTCGACAAGGATGATTTCATCCGTGGTATGCATTGAAAACAACACACACGCACACACTACAGTATGCATGCTAGCTATAAGTACATTTTGAAGAACATTTAACCTCTAACAGAAACCACAGTTACACATGGATGGATCTATAACTGCTGACTCATTCACACAAAAAACAAGTCTTGATTGTAGCCTTGAAGATCCTTGATATTTCCACACCTCAGTTCACAGGGTGTCTGTATGTGTGCTTTCAAAGACATAACTTCATTTCTCCTCTTTTCAGCTACTCAGCTGAAGCCAGATGAGGGCACACCAGAGCTGTCCGAGGGCCGGGTGAGGGTCCGGCTTGAGACGGACGGCTCAGTGCATGATGTCTCCGAGTATGAAGTTGAGAAGGTAGATCAGACTAGAAGTGTCCTTCTGGTTCTATTACTGTCCAAATCATGTAAGAGTTTGCACATCAACTTGTCCTTTGTTTCTAATGCAAACCTTTCAACAACCCTTTCTTTAAGAAACAAACCAGATGAGAATTTCATATGACAAAAAGGTCAACATTTAAACGTATCAGCACAGAGTAATGCATAAATCTCCATTAAATTTTGGAGATTTAGCACACATTTTCTTCAAGTTAAAGCTTTTTATACCAGTCCTGTTACAGTGATGTTACAGTGATGTGAAATTTAAGGAGAAGGTCTTTTAGGGATATGATTAAAAAAAAAACTGCAAACATTATATGAAGCATTTTTCCTTGTGCCCTTTTTTTGGTTTGGGAAGCTCATCTTGTAACCGGAAGGTTCCCGGTTCGATCCCCAGCTTTGTCTGTCCTGGTCGTTGTGTCCTTGGGCAAGACACTTCACCCTACCGCCTACTGGTGTTGGCCAGAGGGGCCGATGGGGCGATATGGCAGCTGTGGCTACAACTGTAGCTTGCCTCTACCAGTGTGTGAATGTGAGAGTGGAATTATAACGCGCTTTGAGTGTCTAGAAAAGTGCTACATAAATGCAATCCATTATTATTATATCAGGAAGAATACAAAATCATCTGGTCCTCAGTAGGTTTTAAATTGGGGTACATGCAACCTCAGATGAACTAAAACACAGGACATATGACATATGACAGGACCTTTTCGTCATTCATTTAACAGTTTGCTACTCACATTTGTGGTAAGACAGAAAAGGCTTCTTGGAAGGGTTATAAGGTCATATCCAAACAGTCTGGTGTCCATCATTCTACATTGACAAAAATAATTTTATGTTACTGACAAATGGAAAACTAGTGGAAAACATTCAAGACATTCACCAGTCTTGAATGTTAAGGTAAGAGGTTAAAAAAACCTCTTCTCCCTAAATACATATACATAAGAGAGCACATCTGTGCTTTGCAGAGGTGCATCTAAACTGTTGTTGTTTGTATTTACTTACACAGCATGTCTTGTGGAATTTACTGGAGTCAGCAGCAACAGCATAGCGCGGTCATATCAAGTCTAGTGACATAAGGCAGGAAAAGATCAGTAAAGAAACAATTTCCCGCAGCCAAAACACAAATCCAATGAGAAGTAGAATACGTTCAGCATGATGAGGTTCAGACGGTGTTCCTGAAAAGAACCAAGTGAAGTTTGTGGTTCTGGAGAATTACTGGAGGTCTCAAGGGACATAAGATTACAATTTATTCAAATTGGATGAAGAGTTTTGGAGTTTCAGCTCCTTAACATGTGCCACTTTTGAAAAGGACCAAAATTGGACAATTGAGTCAAAGCCTATTTCATGGGCAGGTGTGGGCAATTCCTTTGTTATGTCATTTTCAATTAAACAGATAATAGTGCTGGGGTTGATTTGAGGTGTGGTGCTTGCATTTGGAAGATTTTGCTGTGAAACAGACAACATGTGTCCAAAGTTGTCATGTGTGGCTGTGTGACACTTTATACTTAAAGTGGCAGCTTTAGTTGCTGGGAAATAATCCATAAACTAAACTTATGAAAAACAAACGAGGAAATGAGAAACAGCAGGAGAGCAACCAAACATGACGAGACAAAGGGGAAGCAAAACTCAAAACACTGAACACAGGACATGAGACACAAGACAGGCATGGAGATGTAGACTTGACCAGGAGATGCACGACATAGAGATCGGGGAGACTAGACAAGAAAACATGTAACACAGGGGAGGCAAAGAAACAAAATCCAAGATCTAAAAATCACTAAAATACAACCAGACACTAACTGAATCAAAGAATATTAAAAACCAAAACCACTGAGTCACAGGACTCAGGACCAGCACAAAAGGAGCTCTCCATGCAGGTGAAAACCGAAAAACAAAAAAAAAACCATCCAAGAAACTGCTACAATGTTAGGAGCGGCAAAATCTACAGTTTGGTACATCCTGAGAAAGAAAGAATAATTTCAAATAATAATTTAATTTATATAAACAAAACTGAAAAACTGAAATGATCTTAGTTTTTGGTTAATTAGCATTTTGTTTCATTCAGGATGCTGAATTGAAATAGTTTGGGAATTTGTATAGACATAAACATATTTTGGTTTGTCATCTTATCTTAATCCAGAACAATAACATTAGTGATATCAAAGTTTTAAAAAGGCAGCATTTTTTAATAACTCTATAAAGCATCTCCACTAAGACAGAAGAAAACAGTTTTCCCAGGGTGTAATCTGTGTGAAATCTGAGACTAACTCTTTGACATTTGAACCAATTAATGGAGATGCTGTTCCTCCACAGTGTAATCCACCAGAGCTCGACCTGTGTGAGGATCTGAGTGACCTGCAGAGCGTGAATGAATGTGGAGCTCTGCACACTCTGACCAGTCGAGCTAAAGCAAATCTTCCACTGACACATGCAGGACCAAACCTGGTCAACTTCTGGCCTCCGTTACAGACCCACAGCAAGGTAAAATTTACACACATTTACAGATCAGTTACCCTATGAAACTACAAAGCTTATTAAGTATGTGCAACATTTTATGTTTATCTTCTTTTTTTCTCTATTAGACCCCAAAGTCACGGCGAGGGGAGTCTGTGTGGGATGCTCCTCCTGCCCTGGCTGCCCTGGTCAAACGGGTCTACATGTCTATGGTTGGCACCAGACGGGATCACAGTGTGTGTGCATTGGGACGCAGCGGGACGGGCAAGACCACGGCATGTCAGACCTTCACACATGCTCTTATCAAACAAGCTGGCACAGCAGGAGAGAACATGAGTGGTGAGTGTGCGTTGTAAAAATGAAAACTGTTTAGGTTTTTAAAGTGTTAATGATCAGCGCTAAAACTCGAAACTGGTACTAGTCTGTCATTTCAGTGACTGTGAGTGAGTCGCTACAACTATGAATCTTAAATGAATCCCAAAACTATATTCAATAAACGTTATACACATCAACATGTAAGAAAAATTATGAAAAATAACCTTTCAGGGAGTTTGTGGATCAAAATTTCTCTGTGAGAGACTGACGGTATCACACAATAAAGATTACTTCAAGTTAATATAGCTAATGTAAGCTATTAAATTGTGAGGTGCAAGTAGTGTTTTGTTAAATAAACTATGACTATAACTATGTGCGATATGTCATGTGTTACTCTCGTTCAAGTAATTTTAAAATCTGCCGAGGACGGATTATTTTTAGTCTGTCCTGAGAGGTAAAACCTTCGATGTAATAGAGGGTGTCCTGTTTTTAGCGAGCCTGTAGGTTCATTTTGCTGAAATGTTTGCTTCAGCTTGTTTTCCTCAGCTTTCCACACTTCCCTACTGTGATTATTGCTATTTCTTTCACTAGTGGAGCGTGTTCAGGCTATGTTCACTATCCTGAGGTCTTTTGGCTGTGTGAGCTCTAAGCACAGTGATGCGTCGTCTCGATTTGCTATGGTTTTCTCATTGGATTTTAACCATGCTGGACAAGCCGCCGCTGGACACCTACAGGCATGTAGCTCAGACACAAACCCATGTAAGTTAGTCAAACATGGCTGTGTAAATTGGGATTCGTGACTTCTGTTCCTTTTCCTCCTTTTTGTCCTGCTTCTCCATCATTCAGACCTTGATGTTGGACAAATGGAAAGTGTGCCAGAAAATTCAGGGAGAAAGTAACTTCCTGGTCTTCTCTCAGATGCTGGCAGGACTCAGCGCAGAGATGAGGTAATCTCCAGTAAAAGTTAATAGGCAGATTTGTTTAAGAACTGCACTATATATTCAACATATTTAATGATGCAACAGGAAATTTACCTTCACATTATGAAATGTTACTGGCCCTCAAAGTAGATATCGTAGGGTTGGACTCAAATCTGTCACTTTTTTAATTTGTCCACATTTTCCCCAAATCTTTAAGCCCTCATAACTTCTTATGTTCTAGTTGTGGTCCTGCTGAAGCAGCAGCAGCTGAAGGTGTTTGTTGCAGATTCTTCCTTTATAGAGCTACTGATTTGCCACATAACAACCTATTTTCCCATTTCCGATTCTATATTAGGATCGAACTGCAGCTACACCAGCTCTCTGAATTCAACTCCTTTGGTATTGTTCATCCCGCCAAGGTACAGTAAGTGCATCAGAAGGGTCTCTTTTTACCACTATATCACACGTCATGGTATAACAGGCAACATAACCGTAAGTGGAGAAGTCCAGCACAGGGCAGTTCTGTTTTGCATGAACACAGGTGTAATGCTATATTCAGTGGCAACTGGGAAATATTCATTTGTAATATCTGGCTAGGAAAACTCAATGAAAATGAATAACTTGGGTAAGGTTTTCTTCCCTAAGCTTCACATTTTACGATGTTCTGTGGAAGAGGAGTGTTCACAGTGACCTTGTGTATTTGCTGATTATCAGAAGAAGAAACAAAGGAAGTCAGGAGAAAGTTGTGTTTTTCCCTTTTCCTCTAAAATGGAAATCACTTTCAGACTTTAGACCGAATTTTTCTGGAACCGCTGTAATATATGACAACTGATGGCACTGCTGCGTGAATGCTGCTTCAAACATGTGTTTTTCATTAATGCCATCAAGTCTTTACAGCAGAGCGAGTAACTAATTTAAATGTTGTATATTTTGCACTTTTTGGGGGCTTTTCTGTGGCCTGTTCTGTACACTGTGTAACAGCCAGAGCCAGGATAGTCACAGCACAGCTGCAGCTGCGGTCACAGCCTCAGAGACAGCTACTGTTCAGAAAGTGTTCTGATGTATGGAACCACTTTGTGTTGCTTTGCATTGGGAACCATTAGTGTGCTGGTCCAGTCCCTGTTTAATAAACTGTAAAGAACTGCTCTGTGGATATTAAAGGAAAGAGAAAGTACTGAATTTACCCAAGATATTTAAACCTACAGGAAATGTTAATAGAAGGCAAAGAGATGCAGATGCAGCATTTTCCTCAAAAAGGTTTAAATTTCTGAAACAAAGTTCTTCAACATGAAATAAGAAATCATAAATATTCCTTCCCCTCCTACAGAAAACAAATAAATAAAGTGCAGCACTGTCTAGATGGGAAAACAAGTAAAGTAAATCAAACCAATAATTATAATAAATAATATTAATTTTATTTCTCCACAAATATCCTGAGGCTGAGCTTGCAGCTTGGAACTCACCGGCTCTGGGCGGTGTTGTGCTTGCGTAGACTGCACAGAGTGAGAAATAGCTCTCCTGAGAGAACCGTGGTTCTATTAATAATCATTCTAGTTGAAATGAGTGCTGGCGAATAGCCCAAGCTGGGGGTTTCACCCACTCACAATGTGGCTGCTCATGTATACTCGTACTGTATGATAATGCTGCTGAGGAACACAAAGGTAGTCAACAAAACTAACCCTTTTGTATCCCTGTAGATCATAAATCTGTACTTTGTGTGGTAGCTGAGAAAAACTAAATAGGGACACAAGCATTCACTAACCGTATTTGGACGGCGTTCGCTGCATTTGACACAATGACAGAAGTCAGTGAATGAACAATTCTAATTTAGAAGATTGACCAACACTTCTGCTTCAGTTCAAAGTTCTGGGTGTCCCTTTGCCCAGCATGCTTGTGTGAGTATGAGGCTCTGAGGTAATATAAATGGAAAAATGAGCCAAAACATAGAAAGTGAAGTGGTCAAACCACATGGGAAAAGAGTTAGACTGTGATTGGAGATAAGATGGAAAGATGTGACTCAGCTGTTCCCTCACCTCATTTAATTATCTGGCTGTCAAAAACAGAAAAGACAGACTGTCCCCTCTCCCTTTCTTACTGTTCTTAGGTGGAGGAGAAACAGCGTGCATCCATTGCTTTCACAAAGCTGCTGAGTGCCATGGAAACACTGGGCTTCTCACCCGGCGAGCAGAAGGCGATATGGCATGTTCTGGCTGGTATTTACCATCTGGGAGCTGCTGGGGCCTGTAAAGGTAACATAGTGATTCACTGTGAGTCACACAGTGTTACTACACACTCTCATACACACACACCTCCTGTCTGTAGCTCAGGAGGTAGAACCATGGGAAGGTTGCTCGTTCGATCCCTGGCTTGGACAAGACACTGACCCCAAGACACAGAGTGATTCTCTTTAGGAAAGCCTGATAGTGTCGAGCTAACACTCCACCTCCGATCCAGTTACTTTAAATTTCTCACTCATTGCTGAGCCGACCATCACTAATGTTCAGTGCATGCTGTCATAATCACATCCTCTTTGAGTTTTTCCTTTGGTTGTGCAGTGGGCAGGAGGCAGTTTATGAACTTTGACAGTGCTCAGAGAGCAAGCAGTGTGCTTGGATGTGAAGGTGATGATCTGCACACAGCAGTATTCAAACATCACCTTCAACAGCTTCTTCAGAGGGCCACCGGGGGCAGCAGAGAGAGGAGTGGTGCCGCAGAATCGGAGGAAGGTGAGATGCGCACACACTAAAGCCAGCATGTGAAAAACAGCAGCGGAAAGTTTAGAGAGTGTTTGAGGATCCTGTTGCACACTATCAGTGCTTTCAATCTCCGCTGATCATTACAAAAAAAAAACAAAACAAAGCTCATGGAAGTGAATAGGGAGATTGCTTCATTAATATATTTTAGTGGTTACAATTTTTCATTTATAATTTGTTTGATATTTCATTATTCAGCTTACTGCTATGTTGAACAATAAAGGCCATCAGTGCGGACTCCAACTAAACACAGCTCACTATTCTCCAACAGTTTTGATTGTTTAGAGGGAACTTTACCATTTTCTGATCCAGTGACAACTTCAAGCATCTTGTTACAAGAGCTAATGTGTGGCACCATCTGGCATATGAACTGGTGTTTATAGAATGGGATCTTTGGTGGTCAGTACAATATAACACATCAGCACTGCAAAGAATTCACAGAATTAAAGCTACTCATGTAAGCCTCATTGCCTTTCCACCACCCAAACATCTTTCCTTCAGCCAAAAGATACGATCAGCAGAGCTGATTAGTCCGTGAATAATCTACCCAACAACACAGGAGCAGTTTGTTGCTCAGACTGTGACAAATGTCACCAAAAGGTCATCAGTGACAAATAAAATTAAATGAAGTGGTGACCTGTGATATTGGAGACGCACAGAGCTGAAGTCACATTCAGTTGCTCTGAATTTTGAATGGGTGCCTACCTATATTTTACTTGTAGCATTTGTTGACTTTCTAGTGTGAGAGCTGACACGAAGCCTCTCAAGACTTAGCCAAAGGGCTATCATAGCCCTGCTTAACTTCTAAAAAAAAAGCTCAGAGGCCCCAAAAAGCAGGGATAAAAGATACCTGCTTTAACCTCTCAGAGGTTCCAGATTTTCTTTGAGTTGCATTTTTAGAGAAAGGACAACGTGCTGTAGGAGTGGATTTATCCTGATAAAGCCTTTAAGGATAAAGGAGAACATTAAACAACGCGAGTAGAAAAGTGTGTCCTTATTCACTTTGTTGTGCGCAGGTCCGAGGCTAACAGCTGCTCAGTGCCTCAATGGAATGGCTGCTGGACTTTATGAAGAGCTCTTCACTGCCATCGTGTCACTCATCAACAGGTCTGGATGCATCTCATTAAATACACGATCCACAGCCTCATCACAAGCTCTCAGTCTGCCTTCATAACTGCTGCCTAACAAGGCTTCATGACTTTAGACTTTGCTTTACGATGGCTTACTGTGCTTTTTATTATTATCTTTAATATATTTTCTGCTACAGTGATTGAAGACTATATTAAACATGGCCCAAATTACCCTGCAATCAATCTGAGTCTGAAAACTCAATTTCTGATCACTTTTCTACTCTTCTACTCTGTATGATGTGACAACGAAGGGATATCCCTAATATGATGATTTCAGGCTCAGGACCACTAATGCCCACTGTTCAAAACCTTCTATTTTTGAGAGCAGCCAGTAAGAAGACAGCTGGCTTTTAAAGAACATTAAAACTGACTGCTCGTTTCATTGAGGGGTTGCCTAATGGCTCGATATGAGATTATAAGGAAGGCTTCGAACACAGAAGTCCAAATGTTTGAACACCTGGAGTTGAAAATGAGGGGAAATAAATAAGAGGAGCTAATGTTGCTTTCTTTTTCTCAAGCTACATCTGTGTGTACCATTTACAAAGTTTGCAGACAGTCTGACGCATTGATCTGTACTTCTGTTTCCAGCTTCATGTGCTTATAGCAGCCGCCTGTTGTTTTGTGTAATTACCACGCTACTGAGGGGGGCCTTATCACATGATCATCCTTCCCTCTACTGTATATTCATGCATCAGATATGTGAATGAAGAACAAACATATAAAGAACTGTAGAACTCAATCAGGCTGTGTTTTGTGGGCAGGGCGCTGAGCAGTCAGCAGCTGATGCTAGCCTCTGTGATGGTGGTGGACACGCCAGGCCTGAGGAACCCACGACACTCAGCAGAGGAGAGAGGAGCCAGCTGGTCCGAGTTCTGCCACAATTACCTACAAGAGAGGCTGCTGGAGCATTACCACTCACATACGTTCACACATACACTCGAGAGATACGCTCAGGTAACTCAGTGTACAGTTACATCTTTCAAGCTGAGTGATCATCTTCTGTGAGCAATGCACACTTACACATAAAAACTCAGTTTCTAAAGCCTGAAAAGAGTATTGAGAAGATGGACGGAGCACTTTTAGGTGCTGATGAATGTAGAAAACGAGACAGGAGGATTGATGGGGACAGTTAGTGAATCAGGAAGTGCAGACGATTAGTAAGAAGGACGTTTGGGAAAATGTGAAGAGAATAGGTTGGTCCAAATGACATACCTGTGCAGGTATAGGGATGTCTGGGAGAGAGGGCAGTGGACTTTTTGACTAGTCTGTTTAACAAAATCGTGCAGAGTGAGGGGATGCCTGGGGAGTGGAGAAGAGGTGTACTAGTACAGATTGTGAAGAACAAGACTAGTGTGCAGAGTTGTAGTAACTGCAGAGGGATAAAGCTGATGAGCCATACCATGAAGATGTAGTAAAGACTTGTTGAAGCTAGGTCAACAAGAGAGGTGATGGTCAGTGAGCAGCAGTATGATCTCATGCTGAGAAAAAACACTACAGATGTGATGTTTGCTTTGAGAGCATTGATGAAGTACAGAGGATATCAGACATGATAGAGGAACTGTGACAATGTGAGGAAGTCAGGAGGTACAGACAAGTATGTGAGGGTGGTCCAGGACATGTATGAGGACGGAGAGGCAGTGGTGAGGTGCCTGGTACAAGTGACAGATGGGTTCAAGGTGGCGATAGGTATCTGTGACCTATAATGTCTGCAGATGACATTAACATCTCCAGCAAGAGTAAGGAGCAGGTGGAAGAGAGCCTGAAGAGGTGGAGGTATGCTCTGGAGAGAAGAGTAATGAAAGTCAGTTAAAGGAAGACAGAATACGTGTGTGTGAATGAGAGGGAGACAGACGGACAGGTGAAAATGCAAGAAGCAGAGATACTGAAGGCAGATGAGTTTAAATATGTGAGATCAACCACCCAAAGCAACAAACAGTGCACAAGAAAGGTGAAGAGCCCAAGCAGGGTGGAATGGGTGAAGGCAAGTGTCAGGGATGATTTGTGACAGAAGGATAGCAGCAAGAGCTAAATGGAAAGTTTGTAGTAGTGAGATGGTAGATGGTAGCGAGACCTGCTGTGATGTATGGTTTGAAAATGAGGTGGCAGAGCTGAAGATGTTCAGTTCATTGGAAGGGAGTGAGATGGACAGGACTAAAAATCAGGAGTTCAGATTCAGAGAGGTGAGGCTGAGATGAATGGAGCATATGCTGATGAGAGATAGTGGATATATTAGACAAAGGATGATGAAGATGGAGCTGCTAGGCAGGAGCAAAAGAGGAAGATCACAGAGAAGATCCATGAACGTTGTGAAAGAGGACATACAGAGGTTCGGTGTGATAGAGGACGCTGGGACAGGGTGAGATGGAGGCAGATGATCTGCTGAAGGTGCTTCCCAAAAGGAAGGACTTGAAAGAAGATCGATGCTGTAAAAATAATGAGTACATACAGGATAAATAAAGTTTTATGTAGACATTCATGATCCCAGGAAGATCCTAATTGCTTATAATATCCCTCTGACTTCTTTATTGAGGTCATGAGGTTGGAATTGCTGGTTTTGACTCTAACATTGAGACACCGATCAGAACGTTGAATCACATGCACTGTTTTTCAAGTTTCAAGTTTTTCAATGAATCATTCTATTGACAAAACCTTAAAGAAATTCAGTTTAATCAATAACTCATCTAAAACAATAAAGGAAAATACAGTAAATGATGATAGAAATCACATGGGCCTTTCCTTTGAAAAATTCGCAAAAAAGAAAAAAAAATTCAAATAAAATACTGTAAATACAGGCGTTGATTACCAAGTTTTTATTCTACACAGACCAAACAGCACCGTATTTAAAAATGAAAGTGCACCACTATTTTCCTACTCCGACACACAAACTGAAATCAGCTGATTGTACCAAGAGTGCAAGAACCGATAAGATGTATCGACAGGCAGGCAAACTTACTACGATTCCCATCCTTAACTGGAACAGACTCTCTGCCTTTAACAGACCCTGTCATCTTTGTTTTACTTGTTTATGTTTTAGTCTGTTATCTTGTGACCCAATTATTGTGTTTGAGAACCTGATGCCATAACTTTTGCCTCTGTTTTGCTGCCCTCTCTTGTGTACCAGTATACAGCACTGGTTCATGTTCAGCTTACAGGCAACAGCACTTACGGTCCGAGTGAGAGTTTTCATAGCCAATCCCTCTTTGGAGCTTTAAAACACAAGAAAATCAATAAAATAACAATCTGTATAACAATTACACACATTAAAAAACAGAATTGCAGACCAAAAGAGATCTGTTTCTCACATGTGCAAGTGGCCAGAATGGGTTTCACACACAGCAATTTTAAAATGTCAGCCACACTGGAATGTGTCCAGGATCCTTTCTGCTCAGCCTTTACTAACACCAGCTTTAACAAAAGAGTACCAGTTTTACCCCCTGAACTTAAGCCCTAACTGGTTTTCACTGAGTATGCTAATATCTTTGGGATATCTTCACAGTCGTGATGCATGTCTGTCAAAGATGAAAGATTAACAAAAGAGGCAATTTCACTGAGATTAAACCAATACAATTGTTAGATCTACAACAAATGTGTTCCGATTTGATGAAAATGACACACAAAAATGAGTTAAACCGATTATTACTGAGTGAGAAAAGTGCATAGGTGAGAAAAATACTTTTGCCGGAACGACTTTATGTTTTGTCTGCTGCAGGAGAAGATCCACGTGGAGTTTGAATGTCCAGAGACCAGCCCGGCCGAGGTGGTCTCTGCCATTGACCAGCCACCTCCACAGGTACGCAGCAATGTGACATAAAAAGACGTAAATGTGAGCATGAGGATAACAGCCATGAGATCTTACCAGGAGTCTGATGTTTCCAACTTTACGCAGGAATCTTAAAGTTGTCTCATTTAAATTTCTGATGTATAATGTTATATGATAACAGCTCTAGAGACTCCAGAAATAACTTCTGTCTTGAACGCATGAGACTACGAGGCTTGTGAGACTTTTAGTTTTACCTAAAATCATCCCCTGCCCTGCTGCAACAACCCAAATAACAGTTTATCAAAAGTTGACAAACTTGTCTGAGTTGGGTTCGATTATTAACAGTGGGAATAGTTTCACCAGCAGCACCTACAACTGGAGGTTATGTAGCCTGAGAGGCGCACCAATACTTTTCCTCCTTGTCATTATTATTACAGTCTGTCCTTACTACTCCCCTTAAAAGAAGCCAGAAGAACAGTGCTCGTTTGCCAGCATTTATCTTGTTCAAGAAATGACATGTACTGTGACTTTTAGCATAAAAATGTTTTTCTATTTCACTTTTCATTGTATCCTCCATCTGACCAATAGAAAATCATCATGCTTTAACCCAATGTATGCTTGAAAAGTACACGTGTGTGTGTGTTTGTTTCAGGTCCGCGCAGCAGATGAAGACCGCAGAGGTCTTTTATGGGTTCTGGATGAGGAGATGGTGACGCCAGCCTCTTGTGAAAACAGGGCCGTGGAAAGAGTGTGCCAGTATTACAGCAACATGGGTAAAAAAATACACTGCTAGTGAAAACTTGAGCGCCATATAACTTAAAGAGGATGAATTAATTGTGTTTGTTTGTCCTTGCAGTGCGACAGTGTGAGCAGCTGCTGCAGTGTGAGGTGAAGCACCTGATGGGGTCTGATCCTGTCCGATACGATCTGGCTGGATGGTTCAGCCTCATCCAGAACAACCCATCTGCTCTGAACACCATCTGTCTGCTCCAAAACTCCACTGTGTAAGTCAGAGGCCTGGGGGCTGCCCCACAAGGATGCCGTGTCTAAATGAATATCTTCTAGTAGGCTCCAGTTGGCAAATGGCCCTGGGAAAATATTTTACTAAAAGAGTGGTGAAAGCCTTTCAAACAGTTAAAGGGTGTGTTAGATGTCATTAAATGGTCAAAAGTCTGTATATCCAACTAAAACTAATTATTGTGACCCTGTAAAAGGAACAGGTTTCCTTTCCTCTTTCAGAAGCTACTGTCTCCTTTTAATATTGGTGTTTAAACTGAACATATGCACATAGTTGTACTGTGTTTAAATTAGATTAAACTGAGATAAGAAAAGTTTTTATTAACCTTAGGGAAACAAATTCAGGTGTTTTGGCAGCACAGAAGAAAGAAAATCTAGAGAAGGGGAATGTTTTTAATAACTTCTCCATCTGGACACTTTCTTGCTAAGAAACCATTTTAAAAAGTAGCAGTGAGCACAGATATTCATCTCAGGAAGCATGAAGCACTGCTCCAGGACTTTGGGAATTCCTTGCCCAGAAAGTTTTTATATGACTTCATGGAACAGACTGCCCATATACCGTTGATGAAGTAATTAACAACTGTTAATTAGTAGGTATGAACAAGTGTGGTTCATCCATGCATGATTCATTTACTCACAGCACATACCAGCTACACACTTGTAGTGATGTTAAAAACATGTTTTTGACATCCTGTGATAGTGTGTCTCTGCCCTCCCCAGAGGGGTTGTGAAAGCCATGTTCACCCCAAGAATTTCTCTGCCCCCCCTGTGTCGGGCTCTGGGGGGACTAGAGGGTGGCAGCCAGCGCTCTTTGCAGAGGAATGGCACCATCAGGAAGACATTCAGTGGGGGAATGGCAGCGATACGCAGACACTCCCAGTGTATTGCAGTAAAACTCCAGGCAGTAAGTTTCCAGAGCATTCACTATCAAATCCTCATCTATTTCTGTAGTGTAACTGGATTCCTTCCCTCTTTGCTGCTTTTCCCACCATGCAGGATGCTCTTATCAATCTGATCCGTCGAGCCAGGCCAGTGTTTCTGCAGTGTGTCAGTGCAAAGACTGACAATGGAAGTTTTGACATCCCAGCCCTCAGGGTGCAACTGCACTTCACACAGATCCTGTCAGCTCTGCAGCTATACCGCATAGGTATGCATGCTCATGCATTAATATTTCAAGCTGTAACACTGTGTGTAAACCAAGTACAAAGCTATTAGTGACCATTCTAGGGTTAGGGTTATTGTTCTGTTGTACATGTTTAAAAGGCAAATATTCTGCAAGTAAAATATGTTAATTTTCAGAGTAAGTCACATCTGTTATTTGGAATCTATGACACCCAACATATACATTAATGGCAAAACAACTAGCAGCTTGGTATTCGGATATCTGGAAGAAACAACTCCTATCACAACTAGAGACTGACAAGGTGAACACAAAACCTGACATCACGTCAGGGGGGAGAAGTCATTATCCCCACACAACTGTTGTTCTTGGGGCTTGGTACCCAAGAACAACAGGTGCGTTGAAGGTGTTGAGTGCGAGAGTGACTGACCTGAGAGATAGGATCATAGCTGAGAGAGAGAGTAAAACTTGAAGGATCAAGACCCCCCGAGTGGGTTTTTTTTCACACACAGAGACACACACACATACCTGTATATATATATATATCTATATATATATGTTCTCGCCCTTTTTCCAAATATTCCTGATGCAAATTAAAAAATCAATCTGTGACCATGTTTGTCTGCAGGTTATTCAGAGCACATGACTCTGGGGGATTTCAGGTGTCATTTCCAGGCTCTCGCTCCTTCAGTCATGAAACGTTACGCTTCAGTGTTTGTCAACCACGATGAGAGAAAGGTCAGATGGCACATGGCAGCAGCTCCCTTTCTTGTTCAGCATCATGTCATGTAAACATCTTTTTTGTGTTTGCTTATGTGTCAGGCAGTGGAAGAGCTGCTGGTTGAATTGGATGTGGATAAAAAGAGCATCCTCGTGGGTGCCAGCCGGGTAACAACATGTTTGTACTCGAACAGCTGAATTTATTTCGTGCTGATATGACTCATACATTTTTTCCCCCGTTGTGCGTTAGGTGTTTATGAAGCGAGGTGTGTTGTGCTATCTGGAGCAGCAGAGGGAGAAGCAGGTCACTGGTTGGCTGGTCCACCTACAGGCTGCCTGTTTGGGACATCTTGCCCGTCAGAAATATCGCAAACTCAAGGTACTTATGTCTCTGTGAGCTTGCCTTCTGCACTGCTGACTGGGAATTGATGGAATTGATACGAATTTCTCATTGGCTCCCCTTTGAGTGTCACCACCATCGCTAAAGAGCATATCAAAGAAATTACACAAAACCTCTGCTGGGCTTGGGTTGGCATTCACTCAGCTTTAACATCATTCTGGGCTCTTGGCTAGCTTAGTGTTAGTATGCTGTCTGCGCATGTTAGCACTTAGCAACATGGCCTGGCCTGCATTTGTATAGCGCTTTACTCAGTCCCTAAGGACCCCAAAGCGCTTATAGCGCAAACATAATGTGTCTGTTTCTGTCCTGGATGCAGTTTGAACATTGCACGCTTGTCCTGTTGTGCAATATAAATAAAAGTAATGTCCTTATCCACGGTGTAGACTGCGGCACTATTTTCTTCCTCCGACTCATGAACTTAAATCAACTGATTGTAGTGTGAGCGCAAGAACCAATAAGTGTCATCAATAAGTAAGCTGACTAACAATTCCGAAGAACTGGACTACTGTTCTCTATAAGAACAGGTTCTCGATTCCTATTACTGACTAATCGAACCGCCAAATTTCCAATTGGTAGCCATAAGTGCCCAGTGAGATATTTTTAATATATACATGAACACAAACAGGAGCTTTGACTTTACCAGAAGAAAATTGTACATCATGTATTTTAAATGCAGCTGTTAGCATTTCCTTTAACTTTTGTTTCTTTTTGAGAGTTGTTGTTTTCAAACTTTTTGTGGTGCCTTTTTTTGCACTTTCTTTTTGTGTTTTTTCTTTTCATAGGTTGTACTTCTTTGTGGTCATTTTGCATTTATGTAGCGGTGTTATGCTTTGCATGGTGGTTTTAGATGGGAGTTGTTTATTTGTTTTCTTTGCTCTTCATGTGTTTTAATTTTTTTTAATCTCTCTTGGTGTTTTTTCCTTTTTTAGTAGCTGTTTGTGTGTCTTGTCGGTCATTTTGCATTACTGGAAGTGTTTTATGATTTGTGTGGTTGTTTTGCATCTCCTTGTCATCACTTTGAGTCTCTTTGTGTCTGCTTTATCTTTTACAGTTTTTATGTGTTTCTTTTTTTATGGATGCTTTGCACTCCTTGACCTTTGACCTTAGCAAGTAATCATACATTTTCACTAGTTATTGCATAAATTATTGTACTAGTATAATAGTATTTCAGTTTAAGGTAATGTTGGTTCAGGTCTCAATGAAACTTTTTTATTTTTATTTTTTTACATTTTGTTGCAATGGCATTTAATGGTTTTATCTGTTGCTTTAAAAGGAGACTGAGCTCAGCTGTAGGTTAAACTCACACATTGTGTGTGTGTGTGTGTGTGTGTGTGTGCATGTGCCCGTCTGTCTCCAGGTGCAGCAGATGGCAGTGAGTTGTCTGCAGAGGAACCTTCGGGCTCTCAGGGTCGTGTCCAAGTGGAGTTGGTGGAAACTTTTCTGCAGTGTGCGTCCTCTCCTTGATGTCAACATGGATAATGAGAGGCTCAGGGCCAAAGAGGTACATGATCACAATTATCAGAAGGTGTTCAAACACTTTGTGAAAAAATGTATTTGCTTTTTTGCAGAGATTTAGATGAAACAAATGAAGACTGAGTGATTGATTTTCTTGCTCAATGTCTCCAAATTAAGGCAAACGTATACATGTGTATTTTAGTAATATGTTTCTTAAATGTGTATATATGTATTAGCATTAATCTTTTAGCTTTAGGAGTTAAATGGACAAATATAAAAGCATCTTAATCTGGTAAATAGCTTACAAATCTTAGAATATCAACTTATTAACATTGCAAAGTACAATAGTTTCTGCTGTAAACTTTCTAGCTCATGCTTATCAGGGAAAGACAGAGGGTTAGATAATGCGTTCGTTGGAAGGTAGCAAAGCATTTTTTGGCAACATTCAGATGACACTGTAATGCACAAAGTGACAAATGTCTTCATGTATTGTAGCGTCCTGGATGGAATATCCTATACACTGTATCGGTGCTTCACTAAATGTTCGCAGAATACCACAAGGTGGAAACTATGTGGGACTCTTACAAGGCGATGTCCTTAACACCACTGTGGATTTGCTTAGAGCTGTGTTAATGTGTTATTGTATTTTTTCTTATATGTTAGTCTTATTTAACTGTAATGCAATGAAATGGCAAGTGAGCAGAAAGTACTTGCAAAAATCTTGCCTCACTATTAATTATTTTATATTTTGATAGGAAAAAAAGGGGAAGGAGTGCACCAATGCATTGAAACATGTGCAAACATACATTGAAATATAGTATATGAGACCAAAACAATGTTTTTGAGAACATTAAGAGAAGATTACACAAGGTAAAGTCATGTCCTGCTCTGTGTGGGTGAATCGACTTTTCCCAGCAATTTCCAGGACTGATCAGTAGGTGGTGCTTTTTGCCATGTCGGACTTTTGTCTTCATCGTCACTGCCCAGGAGCAGATTATATTTTCAGCATAAAGTGCCATGACCATTTGGCCTAGTAAAAGGTACACACCACTGTGAGAGTAAAGTGAAATATCCAGGGTCTGTACAGACTGTATGTAATGATGAACATTGCCACTTTGGAGTCACTGGTTAGTGAAGTCCTCTTATGAAGCCTCAAGCGAGTGATGGTTATGATTGAGAAACTGCAACACTCATAGCCTGGTTGATTATTCCAGTCTTATAAATGTGTACATTTAGTAATTTTACATATGAAAACTGCCTAGCCGTGCCTCAAGGCTCAGTAAACATAATTACATCTTTTCGTTGTGAGCAAAAGTTGCTGTGGGTTCTCTCTTAGTTAGAATAGACGCAACAATTTATAACTCGAGCTTCTATTGCTATAATCGTTGACTTAAACGTACATGCCTGTGGTTTTAATTTCATGCAAAGTAATTAAGCAGTCCATCTTAAATGACAAAGTACCAACGCTGTCTGAATTGTTTTTGAAGCTATATTTTTGTGCACTCGAGACAAGAAGAACAATTATAAGGCTGCGTAGTGTTCATAATGGAAGTTCAGTGAGCTGTAGCAGTGCCAGCATCTAATAGGTGGATTTTGGTTTCAGTGAACGAGTGTACAGTGATAATAATCACAATGATGTTTCAGTCACAGTGAGTTTTCTATTTTGCCATTTTTGTCAGGATGAAATATCAGTTCTGAGACGACGCCTAGAGAAATCAGAGAAGGAGAGAAATGAGCTGAGGCAGACTGCAGACAGCCTGGAAACCAAGGTTTG